TGTTTTTGTCTTAGTCATCCCAGTAGAAGTGTAATGTTATCCCATTGCGGTTTTGATTTGTGTCTCTGTGATGGCTCATGATGCTGTGCATCTTTTCAGGTGTTTATTGGCCATTGAGTGCCTCTGTGGTGTCACAAGTCAATCCATAACAGCAAACAAAGTGAATATTTTATGTGAGTCCCAAGCAGTTCACAGACTCTAAGGTAAGGGGAGAGGAAACAACAAGAGCTGGCTACAGGGAGTCACATGACTAGTAACACAAAGTAAAGGGGGATTGGGTTTGGGTATGGTTAGAACCCGGGAGAGGGAAAGGCATTTCAGTGAAAGTAGTCAGTCAAGACTTCACAGAAGAGATGACATTGACTTAAATATATGACGTAGTTAGTTTATTGTGACAACCTGGCCAATAATCACATGTGGAATTAATTGAAGGCCGGAGAGATAAATGGCTCAGCAAGCCTTGCCTTTTTTGTCTCTTGCTCTTTGAACATCAGACCAGTGTGCGGCTGCCTTGTTTATTCTGTGCCTCAATTTGCAAGGTACACTACCTGCCTTCTCAATACCAGGACCATCAGAAGCAGTTTGCCTTCAGCTGGCAGGGCAACAATACACTTTCACAACTTTCCCCCAGGGATACATCAACTCTTCTCCCCTGTGCCATAATTTAGTCCGAAGGGAACTTGATTGTCTGTCTATTCCACAAAATGTCACACTGGTCCATTATATTGATGACATCATGCTGATTGGACCCACTAAGGAGGATGTATCAAAGACTCTAGATTCATTGGTACAACATCTGCGTACAAGAGGTTGGGAAATTAACCCAACGAAGATTCAGGCACCCTCCACCTCAGTAAAATTTCTAGAGGTCCGGTGGTGTGGGGCATGTCGAGATATTCCTACTAAAGTGAAGAATAAGCTATTTGATTTGCACTCCCTACCACCACCACCACCACCACCACCCAATGACTAAAATGGAGGCACAATGCCTAGTCAGCCTCTTCAGATTTTGGAGGCAACATATTCCTTACTTGGGTGTTCTGCTTCGACCTATTTATCAAGTGACATGAAAAGCCTCCAATTTTGAGTGGGACCTAGAACAAGAAAAGGATCTTCAACAGGTTCAGGCTGTTGTGCAAGCTGTTTTGCCACTGGGACTATATGATCCAGCTGACCCAATGGTGCTAGAGGTGTCAATTGTAGATAGAGATGCAGTGTGGAGTCTTTGGCAGACCCCTATTGGTGAATCACAGCGTAGACCATTGGGATTTTTGAGTAAAGTCCTGCCATCCTCTGCAGACAATTACTCCCCCTTTGAAAAACAGCTGTTAGTCTGTTACTGGACCTTGGTGGAGACTGAATGCCTCACCATCAGCCACCAAGTCACCATGAGGCCTGAACTACCCATCATGAACTGGGTATTGTCTGACCCACAGAATCATCAAGTTGGACGTGCGCAGCAACACTCCATTGTTAAATGGAAGAGGCATATATGAGATCGGGCCAAAGCAGGACCTGAAGGGACAAGTAAATTGCATTAAGAAGTGGCCCAAATGCCCACAGTCTCCACTCCTGTCGCATTACCTTCTTTCTCCCAGTCTGCACCTATGTCTTCCTTAGCATACTTTAACTGAAGACCAAAAAGTCATGCTTGGTTTACAGATGGCTCTGCATGATATGCAGGTGCCACTCATAAGTTGACAGCAGTGGCACTACAGTCCCTTTCTGGGATCTCCCTAAAGGACAGTGGTGAAGGGAAATCTTCCCAATGGGCAGAACTTCAAGCAGTGCACCTGGCCATTCCATTTGCATATAAGGAAAAATGGCCAGATGTGAGACTGTATATTGATTCATGGGCTGTAGCTAATACCTTGGCTAGATGGTCAGGGAATTGGAAGGAACATGATTGGAAAATTGGTGACAAGGAGGTGTGGGGATGAGGTATGTGGATAGACCTCTCTGAATGGGCCAAGAAAGTAAAGGTAATTAATTGTATCTCATGTGAATGCTCACCAAAGGGTTACCTCTGAAGAGGAGGACTTTAACAATCAAGTGGATAAGATGACACGTGCTGTGGAGACTGGTCCTCCTCTTTCCTCTGCCACTCCTGTTATCACCCAATGGGCACATGAACAAAGTGGACATGGTGGCAGGGATGCAGGTTATGCATGGGCACAGCAACATGGACTTCCACTAAGCAAGACTGACTTGGCCACTGCCACTGCTGAGGGCCCCATTTGCCAGCAGCAGAAACCAACAAGGTATGGGACCATTCCTTGGGGAGATCAAGCAGCAACTTAGTGACAGGTTGATTACATAGGACCACTTCCATCATGAAGAGGGCAGTGTTTTGTTCTTACCTGGGAGTTGGTTATAGGTAGATCATTGTGATCGGTTCCCCCTTTCTCCCCCACCTTCCCCTTCCCCTTCTGTTATCACTGCTCTCAATATCGGTCCTGAGGGGTTTATCTGTCCTGGATTCCATGTGTTTCCAGCTCTTACCTGTACCCATGTACATGCTCTGGTCTAGCTGGATTTGTAAGGTGGAATTGGGGTCATGATAGTGAGGGGGGAAGCATTAAAGAACTAAAGGAAAATTGTACATTTTGTCAGAGCTGTACTGCACCCTGGCTGGCTCCTCTCTTCCTTGAGGAGCACTGTATTGTAAAAGCTCCCTAGGTGATACAAGCAGCCATACTGAAACACCACGGAGGTAGATTCAAGGATCTCTGGTGGCACTGTGAGATATACATTGAACTACTAACCACAGATTGGCAGTTCAGTCCCACCAGGTACTCCACTGAAAAGGATCAGGGTGTTTGCTCTTTTAAAGATTTACAGTCTCTGCAAACCTCAGGAGCTGTTCTACTCTGTCCTATAGGGTTGCTATGAGACAATGTACTTCATTGCAGTGGGTTGGATTTGGGTAGCACTTTAGCCTTGGGCTTTTTCCTTCTCATTCTATGGCATCCCAGCCATTCTGTGGGGGAAAGCTATGACAGTCTGCTCCCATAAAGATGTGCAGCCTTGAAAAACCTAAAGGCAGTTTTCTCTGTCCTATGGCATTGCTTGTGGGCCACACATTTGGGATGTGGATTCTGAAAGCATTTCCAACAGGGAAGTGGAAAAATATTTGTTAGGTGGAGCTTTTCAAACTAAAAGGAAAAGCTTAACCTTTAGATAAAACATTTTATAATGCAGTAATTAACAATTGATACCATTCCCTAGAAATGGTTGGAATTAAGACAGAGGTGACTTAGAATTGATGGCGAGGAGGGTATAGAATGCCTGGTGGGGTTTGATCAAGAGCAACATATCCGAGAGGAATTACTGAGCACAGAATGGAGGGCAAGTATGATAGTGGGACAGGAGGAAGGTGAAAGGAAATAGAGGGGAGAACTAAGAAGCAAAAGCTATAGGTATAGGTATGGGCATATATATGTAAACATATTAATTTATAATTTATAATGATAGGGATATATATGTAAATATATTAATTTATAACAGGAGGGATATAGGGCAATGTACATATATTTGTATGTTAAATATTAAGATAGAAGATGGCCTTTGGGTCTCTATTCAATGCTTCCCTAAGCACAAAAACACTTTGCTCTAAAAACTTGGCCCTCTGTGGTACTCACTTTCCCAACATGATTGCTGAAGACAAAATGGGTACAAAAGCAAATGTGGTGAAGAAAGCTGATGGTGCCAGGCTTTCAAAAGATATAGCATCTGGGGTCTAAAAGACTTGGAGTTAAACAAGTGGCCATCTAGCAGGGAAGCAACAAAGCCCACATGAAAGAAGCACACCAGCCTGTGTGATTACAGGTGTTGATGGCATCAGGTATCAGGTAAGAAAAGATACAAAACAAACAATTATATCAATGTGAAAGAGGGGGTTCTAATTGGAGACCCAAAGCCCATCTGTAGACAATTGGATAGCCCTGCAGAAGGGTCAAAGGTAGGGATGATTCAGCCAGGGTGCAGTATAGCACCGAGAAAACACACAACATGCCTCTAGTCCTTGAATGCTTCTCCCCACCCCACCCCACCCCACCCACTATCATGACCCAGGTCTACCTAACAAATCTGGCTACACCAGAGTACACACATGGGTATAGATAATAGTTCTGGACACATGGAATCCAGGATAGATAAACCCTGAGGGAATAGTAGTGGGAGTCACGATACCATGAGAGTAGAGGGGGAAGGGGGAACTGATCACAAGGTTGGATAAAAACCACCCCCACCCCCAGGGAGACAAATAATCAAGATGTAAGTGAAGGGAGACAGCGGACAGGGTAACATATGAAATAATAATAATATAAAAATAATAAAATAATAATAATAATGTGATCAAGGTTTCATGACGATGGAACAAGGTTAAAGGGGGGAAAGAGGAACTGATACCACAGGCTCCAGAAGAAAGAAAATGTTCTGGAAATGTTTATGGAAACATATGTACAAGTGTGCTTATTAAAATTGAATGATGGATTCTCCTAATATTTGTAAGAGGCCCTCAATAAAATGATTAATAAAAATAAATTTTAATAATATGTAAACCAGAGCAAAAAATATGTTATAAGATAGTAGCTATGAAAGAATATATATTCTTAATTTTGAAAAATCAAGTTGGAAAAAAAAAGACAAAGTCACAGATGTAGGTCTTGTGACTAAAATTCACAACAAACTCGTGAACATCAAGTCAATTTTGACTCAGTAATCTGTTAGCACAGGGTAGAACTGTGTCTGTGGTTTCCTAAGCTGTAGCTCTTTCCAGAAGTAGAAATTCTCATCTTGCTCCCGTGGAAGAGCCAGTGGTTTAGAACTGCTGACTTTACAGTTATCAGACCAATGTGTAACCACTACACCATCAAGGCCCCTCAGTTCTTGTGAATAGTTCATCGAAAATGTTTATGGACAAAGATAAATAGGTTACAGTGAGCTGGCAAAAGTTTCTATACCTGTTGATAGATCGATATGCCATGAGAGTCCAGACTTCAGATAAAACCTGTCTCTTTGCTAATCAGTTTTCTTAGAGCCTCTTTCATGTCTTTGTTCCTCAGACTATAGATGAAGGGGTTCAGCATGGGGGTCACCACCGTGTACATCACGGTAGTTATGGTGTCCTGCTCAGCTGAGTGGGAGGATGAAGGGTTGAAATACACAGCAATGATGGTGCCATAGAAGAGGGAAACCACAGCCAGGTGGGAGCCACAGGTGGAGAAGGCTTTCCACTTTCCCTTTGCAGATGGGACTCTCAGGACAGCAGAGGTGATGCAAATGTAGGACACCAGGATGCAAACCAATGGGGTTGCCGTTATCAGACCTCCCACAGTAAAAACCATCATCTCATTGAGGTGTGTGTCAGAGCAGGAGAGTTTTAGGAGAGCAGGCACATCACAGAAGAAGTGGGGGATCCTGTTGTGTGCACTGAATGAAAGCCGAGCCATCAACAGGGTATTCAACAGAGCATTCACATTGGCAATGCCCCAAGACACAGTGATCAGGAGGATGCAGAGCTGATGGGTCATCTTAGTTGTATAGTGTAAGGGGTAGCATACAGCAACAAAGCGGTCATAGGCCATCACGGCCAGGAGGAAATTGTCCATGCTGCTAAGCACAAGGAAAATATACGTCTGTGTGAGACACCCGGAGAAAGACACGGTTTGACTTCCAATTATGTGGTTGACTAGCATCCTGGAGACCGTTGTGGAGGAGAAGCAGATATCCACGAAGGATAGGTTGCTGAGGAAGAAGTACATGGGGGTGTGCAGGCGGGAGTCTGAGTTGATGGCCAGGATGATGAGTAGGTTTCCCAGGATTGTGGCCAGGTACATGCTCAGGAAGAGCATGAAGAGGAGCTGCTGCTGCTGTGGCTTCCTGGAGAGCCCCAGGAGGAGGAATTCAGAGACACTGGACTGATTTTCCCCACACATTGGTCTAGGTCCAGATGCAGACAAGAGAAACAGGGCAGATACCTAGGAACTGAGGATCCAGATTGGACCAGTCAGACCCCAGCCATGGTCTTACTCACTTTATCAGAATTGTTCAATCTGTTTGTACCCAGTCTCTACACAACCAAAGTAAGCCCCCATCTCAGATAATGCTGGTCCCATCTGACTATTTCAGCCTGTGTCTCTAATTGTGTATGTCTTTTTTAATATTTCCTGGTAATTTCTTCACTCCATCATAGCTCATTAAAAAAATAAAAGAAACAGTTGATGAGTACTAAGTTTATCTCAAGGTACATGTAATTGATCTGGGACTCCTGTTATTGCTCCCTGGATCTGCAAGATTTAACACAGAGAATGCCTAAAAGAACTTCATGTCTTAATAAGAAAATATTCCTATCTCTTCGGCTATAATCCTACCTGAAGGAGGAATTACAGCTCCCATGTGTTCTTCACCTCTGTATGACTGGCCAGTGCTTCTCTACATTGTGGGGATTGGAAAGTCTTGGAAATATAGGCAAGTCCTGAACAAGTGAGGAGTAGGGGTTCATGGTCTTAGTCTGCAATCCCTGAAAAATGCTTGGAGGAATCACACAGCTGTCATTTACAGGAGTCTCCATGGCCACTGGGGCCAAATTCCCTGAGAGCCTCATTAGATACATGAAGAGAGTAATTGTCCCACCTACCTTTTGGCCCATTTAAACCTAGCAATGGTGACAATGAGTATGATGTAACTCCTAAGTCAGAACTTGTAGATAACAGTATCTTTGGGGACACAAGTCCCAAACAGAATCCCTTGGGACCTCAAATCTCAGCACTTTGTTGACCAGAGTATAGGTCTACAGATTTGGGGATTCAGTTCATGCTTATTTTTTCTTCTAAATTAGCAAAAGTCCTGGTGTATTGCTGTGCTGTTAATGCAAGCCGGTTGTTGATGATGTTGTTTTTCTTTTTTTTAACTTCATATTGCATTCCAACCCAGGAAACCCTCAGTGGTCTGCCATCTGGCCTGCCAACCTGGGATTCACCTGTGACTGCATCCAGCACCATGTGGTGTTCCTGGCCCTGGTTCCTGACCCTGGTTCCTGGTCCCGGTTCCTGACACAAGTCAGGAGAAGCCTTTAGCTTAACATCTGATGCACATATTTGAACTGAAGTAGACTTACTTATTTCTACAACTATGTGAGCCACTTTGTTTATATAAATAAATAGGTTTATTTATTTACTGATAATTGTATATATTACTGGGTTTGCTGCTCTAGAGAACCCAGCCTAGCCCTGGAGTTTGTTATAGTATTTTCAATTGCCTCATATGCATATGAAAGCTGGACGGAGAAAAAGGCGTACTGGAGAAGAATTGATGCATTTATTTATGGTGTTGGCCTATCATATTAAATGGACCATGAATATGAAATCTGTTTTGAAGACGGTGCTGCCAAGGTATTTTTTAGAACAGAAAATAGAGAGATTTGTTTCCCATGCTTTGAACATGTGATCAGGAGAGACCAGTCCCAAGAAAAGGACATCATGCCCGGTAGATAATTAGCGAAAAAGAGGAATACCATCAAGGAAAGAGATTGACATGATAACTACAATAATGGGCTCAAGTGTAACAATTGTGAGCACAGCACATGACCAGGCAGTGTTTGACTCTGCTGTACACAGGGTCGTTATCAGTCCGAATGACCCAGCAACACCCAGCAATGACATTCTTCCTTTCTCTATTTTTTGGAAGAGTTTAAATAGTATTGGCGTGATTCTTCTCTAAATGTTGGATAGAATTCTCCTGAGAACCCAGAATTTGTTGTTTGGGCGAAGTATTTGATCATTGATTCAGTATCTCCTCTTGTGTGTCTGTTGAGACTTGAGGCAGTTTGGGTAGGTTGTATACTTCTAAGAATGTATCCATTTCATCTGAATAGCCCAGTATGCTGTCACTTAGTTGGCCATAATATTCTATTATAACCATATTTCTGTCTGGTCAGTTACTATGTTCCTGTGTTCATTATTATTTTCATCATTTCTCTTTTTCCCTCTATCAGTCTAGTTAAAAGTTTGTCAATGTTATTGATCTTTTTTATCATTTTATTGGGGGCTCATACAGCTCTTATCACAGTCCATATACACATCCTTTATTTCAGGCACATTTTTACATTTGTTGCCATCACCATTTACAATAAGTTTTCTTTCAACTCAACCCTTGGTATCAGCTCCTCATTTTTTTCCCCTCTCTCCCCCACCCTTCTTCCCTCATGAACCCTTGATAATTTATAAATTTTGATTATTTTCCGTGTCTTACACTAACCAATGTCGCCCTTCACCCACTTTTCTGTTG